AGTAAAATGTTGCTGATATCCTGATAAACATTTTACTAGTTAACCACTTTTTGATATCTTTCAAAAGAAATGATATATATAGGCTCAAAGTGGACGATCCGGGTGTCGTTCTATTAGAGGTTTTACGGTATGCTACCTGCATTGTAATCTGGTGAAGCATGTATTGGAATGTACCGTAACTAGGAAACCTCGCTAACCCGTTTTCCATAATTCAGTAATTCTCATCGCAGACTCTTCGACAGCCCATCCATCGCCTACCCAGGAGACTATTGTGAGCTTCCAACGACTGTTTGTGTAGGAGGAAGTTTCTGTGAAAATGTGAGACAGCGTTTTAATAAGTATATAGAACAAATAAATTTCAGAATGTTTGTGTTTGCCGCCAAGGAGAGATTATTCAGAATCAGCAGTGTGTTCCAGTGGTGACAACTACCACAACCACTACCACTGAGGTTCCAACCACTGAGGCTCCAACCACAACAACAACTGAAGCAACAACTACTACCACCACTACCGAACCAACAACGACCCCAACGACCACAACGACCACTACGACTACTCCACCACCAACTACTACTTCTACAACTACCACAACTACCACCGAGGTAATTCATAAGATCGGGAAAGATGTGATTTTCAAGATTTAAAAAATTGATTTCAGGCTCCAACTACCACTACCGAGTTGGCCACCACTACTACCATCACGACCACCCAGGCCCCAACAACCATCTTCACCACTACCACTACCACTCAACCGCCATCTACCACTGTTTTCGTCCCAACTGTGACCCCAAGCAGAGAAGAGCCAGGATGTACACCATACAACTGCGCCTGCAACCCGATGGGATGTGGACAAGGACAAATTGTCAGAATCAATTTTGTGGTGAGCTTTTATTCAAGTCTTACTTATTCCCATTCACTTTCAAACTTCAGATCCCCGGCCAACAGTGCAATTCGAACAACCAATGCCTCGCTGGATCTTACTGTAGCTCTGGAACATGTAGATGTGCCAACAGCTTCGAACAACGTGGAACCATGTGTATCAGAAGGAGAAAGTAAAAGAATCACCCCCAATTACGACCCTCTTCTTCCGATTATAATAATTTGTTGCGATTTGTATGTAAATAATTGTAAACGGAATCCGAAAATAATTCGAATAAATATATTAAATCAAGTTTTCATTTTTGGCTTAATGTATTCACGCCTTCCTCCGAGAGTGTTTGATCTTTAGACCAATACATAGCGTCATTTTTGACCACGTGATTTTCGTGAACGATAAGAATAATTTATTAAAAAAGAGATCTCAACATCACAAAAATGCACCAGAAGGAAACTAATATGAAATGATAAACTGAAAATAAAAAAATAAAGAACAAGTGTCACACATCATAATGCATTTCTTCGAAATCAAGTTGATTATTTTCTGTTAAAATTGGAACTAGTAAACAAGAAACTTCATTTGTCGGGTACACTTTTCCTTCCAATCCTGGAATATCAGATATATACGTCCAGCGATTGAATACATCACATTCCAAATTGAAATCTGCTTTCGTTTCTTTCAAGTCAGTCGTTGCCCAATCAGCTCCTTCGATTTTTGCCTGAATTTAAAATTTCAACATTATTCTTACCGAACGACTCACAAATCCGGAAATCAGCGGATATTTGGAATTTTCGGGAACATTGCATGACAGATGAACGATGTCACATCCATAAAGTGATTTTTTGATGCATCTGCAACAATAAGATTGCTAGTTGTTTAACTTTCTTATAGATTCACGTTAAAGTAGGTGGAATTATAGTTTTTCCAAGCTTCCGTCCCGTTTCTGGAGATGTGAACTTGATCTGATTTACATGACACCCGGCAACAACAGCAGTAACCGTTTTTACAGGTTTTTGTATTTTCTCAACAATCTCCACAGTTTTGGTTATCACGATTTTATTAGCTTTCTCGATTTCTTTTTTGATAACTTGAATAACAGGAAGAACTGAAACCACTGCTGGTGGTGGGTCTGGTAGAGATTCAAGTTGGTGGATTACCCGTTCGACAAAACCTGAAAACTAACGTACCTCGTTTTAAGGCATTTATTTCAAAGGCTATACAGTACCGGTCAATTAAGTAAACAAAAAAATTATTTTAGTTGATTTTGACAATTTCCAGAAGTCTGGAGACCAAGTGTCCGATCACATTGAAAATGTTGGAGGTTATAAAACACTCCTAGGTTGAAAACTTGGCATTCACGGAATTGTTTGAAGATTCCTAGTTTCTCAGTTATCTGCCGGTTTCTGAGGGGAACTTGCTTTTTTACGTTTTCCGTACAAGATAGGGGTGTTCTTCAGAAATTGGTCTAAAATTTCGAGTCTATGTCTGTTTCATGGCATCCAAAATTTTTCAAAGTTTGATTTCTAAAAACAAAGGTGCTCTGATAAAAGCCCACAAAAATATCCAAAATGTTTAAACTAATAAATGTTAGTGATATTATGATGATTAATGTATCAGTTGAACATTTTCGATATCTCTCGCAAGAACCGAAACAATTGATCTCAAAGTACTGAAAGGATGAGCTTTTATCACAAGAACTACGGTCGTAGACTCTGTTGATTATTACTGAAAACTTTCAGGTCCAATTGTACATTCAATTTTGTTTTATATATCATTTGGATGAACCAGTACAAAACAGTTGTCCAGTACAAGGTTGAAGCTCTATTTTTTCTTAGCTGACTTGATAATTTTCAATTGAACTTTCGAAATCCTTGATAAAATTTTGGCCGGTACTGCATTTTTCAACTAATACGTTATTTTTTTCTTGTTGCTAATGTTCGTCAAAAACAATGAGGTTAAATTCAATAAAATACCTACCAACGTCTTCAGGAGGAATTGTAGGTATACATGGTGTACAACTCATCACTAGTAGTCCTAGAATAAAAAACGAATACGTGTGAATGAAAAACATAGACGGTCAAAATTTGAAAGTCTCCATCAGGAAAGACAATGTGTGTTGATTCGCCCGACAACGCTTGAATGATTTATACGCGACAAAACGCCCTCATAATTTATCTGCTTTGTGATTAATGATAATCCGATTTGAAAGAATCGAAATTCCCTTTTTAACTTCTTCTCCTGTTTTCCAAAATTAGACAAAAAATTAACAGTTTATTATCATAAGAAAAAAGCAAAACATTGATATTTGATTAGAAAGATGATTAGAGAGAAGGGAAGGGGAAAAGATCAAATTGAAAGTGAACACTTTGGAAGATACAGTTCTTGTTTGATGTTGAATCTTTAAGGCATTTGGAAAATTGCAAAACAAAGCGGAAAAAAAGCTTTTTTTTGAAAATGTGTGGACCGGGAAGTGAAAATTAGAAAGAATGGAAAAAGCAACTATTGAATTTTTTCATACAAGTTTTAGTACATGCGATAAAGAAAGTGGACAGGAATTAGGTAAAAAAACAATGCGACAAAAAAATTAGTTATGACGAAGAAAAAATTATTTACCGGTATTGAAACAAAACAATCTGATATTGATCAACCAAAAGAATATTTGGCAAAAAGCAAAAATAGGAAACTCTAAAATATGAGATGGTTCCATAGAATAAATGCACAAAAAGTGATGATGTTGTAAAAGTTACAAAGCAGATTTCTGTGATCCACGACTTTTATTGCTCAAAGCGCTGTTGGTTCTAAAGAAAAGCAGTGATTAGTGTTAAAACGTGCCATATGTGGATTTTTACCTAGCTCGTGGTCGTTGTGATCTACTCCGCGGTCGGAATTCAGAATCCTCTATTTCTTCGATCTCTCCTGGATTTAGTGGCTGCAGTTCTCCGCCGAGACACTCGCTTGCGCGCCGATATCTCTCTTCCATGTTTCTTTCAACTTCGATTAATTCTTGTTCCAGCACCTGGAATATTCTTGTATTTTGAATTAATTGTTGTTATTTCTTGAAATATCGTATTTACCACAAACCAGTAATAGGGATTTAATTTTTGTATTTGGATGTGAGCCAATTTTTCTTATTTCCTGTCAAAGATGCTGTCAACTGATAAATTGTTTATCAGAAAATCAAAAATATTTTGTCGGTTCACACATTTTTGACATGCAAACTTGACAGTGTGAGGGCCCTTCTATTACAGGTTTCTCTTTAACTATTGAAAAATATATATTTTTGGTTCAAGATGCTTACTTGCATAGATAACCGTTTGATACCACCATGCCCGTCTGGAATCTGCGTACTGGGTTCTGTCTCCTCATCTTCAGCATTCTCCTCTTCTTTATCATCTCGGTTTTCAATGGCAAGCACTTCGGGTTCTTCGGCTATCTCGTCGTCGTCAGACTTTGTGATCTCGTTCTCGATGTTTTCACCTTGAAAGGAGATACGTGGGAATTTATATTATTTAAAAATTGAAATCATTCCTAACTATTTTCTAGTCTATCTATAACAAACCTGTCGGTTCCGCAGGTCCTTCTGCGTCTCTTTTGTTACTCTCTTCCAAATGTTTCATCAATACGGCAACTACCACGTTGACAAGCACAAATTGAGAGATGAGTACGAAAATGACAAAGAAGCATGGTGCAAGAATAGGATCTACGCAACAATTTGTTTCACAGTGGTCAGAGGAATCACAGTCGTCGCGGAGTGCGTCCTGAAAAAATTAATTTTGAATAAGTTGGGAGAGCAAGCAATTTTCGACCAGTTTGGGGTTAAAAATCGTGACCTACTTTCATAATTCCGTTCCAATTATCACCAGTAGCTATCCGGAAAAGTGTCAAAAATGCCATTCCAAAATTCTTGAAGTGAGCATGTTCTCCTAATCCGTCACATGGATGATCTTCAGAACATTCCAACTTTCCAAACAATTCCACACCAAGAGCAGCAAAAATAAAGAAGAGCAGGAAGAACAGTGAACCAAGATTTCCGACCTATAAACATTCAAAATAGCTTCTCAACTTCAAGAAAATAAGATGTCACCTGTGGTAAAGCCTCTCCCACTGTATCCAACAACGACCGAATTCCCTTTGCCATTTTCAAAAGTTTCAGAACTCGTGCAATTCTCAAAACTCGCATAACACGTATAATTGTTGGATTGATAGGGAGTTCCAAAGCTTCAAACTCTTCGAAAATGATTCCAGCGATCGACAAGATGACAATGAACATATCCAAACGGTTCCATTTTTCAATGAAAAATCGTTTGAAGCCAAGAGCGATGAGTTTCATAGCAGCCTCTAATGTGAATACCGCAGTGAAAAAATAATTGAGGGCTTTGAGAACATATTTCAATCCCATTGGCATCATATAAAACTCCATTGCCATTGATATCACATTGATTCCTAAACATCCGTATTATATCTGTGTTCATTTGAAGGTTTTTTGTACCAATTACTGCTGCGATTGCAAGATCGAAATACTTGGAAGTTACTATTCCGTGCAAGAAAAGTCTGGTATGACCGTAATCATGATAATACGGATAATTTCTTTCCACTGAAAAAACCGATTTAAGTGCGGTACCAACCCACACGATGCGATCTAAAAACAGAAGAAAGTGTTGTTAGTGTGCCACGACAAGTCGGTAGGAGAGCGGGGCTTGTATAAAGAAATGGGAGGATTGATTGAATTTGATAGTATCGTGCATTTGCCAAACTTAGAAGGAAACAGAATATCAAGCGTATTTTTGCTCACTTCACAAAAACTTTAATAGAAGTTTCTTATCAAACTTAGTTTCCAACATATCAATCCAAACAAAACTCAAGCACAAAAGTAATCAGGGAGTGAAACCGGGAAGCACTTACTCTTCTTCCTTTTTCCAGCCATACTCTCTTCGAATTTCTGACGTTTCAGTTTCCGTTTCAGCCTCTTTTCTTTCTCCTTTTCTCTCATCTCTCGCTCCAACGCTTCTTTGCACTTGTGGAAATTCTCAACGACGACTCCAACAAACATGTTCAATACGAAGAAACCAACAAGCAAGAGGAAAGATATGAAGTAGATCATTCTCCACTCATTGTAGTTCTCAATAGGCTGAACATCAACACCAACTGCGTCAATTCCTTGGTACATAATGGAAACCCATCCATCTTTGCTGGATAACACGAACAATGACATCAACGCTTGTCCGAGATTGTCAAAATTGTATCGATGGTTAACCCATTTGTTACGTGTATCCTCGAGACAGTCAACTTTTGTGGTTACATTTCCAACTTCTGGTCCTATGCAGTGATACATCATTCCCTTGAACAGCTGTACTCCAAGGATTCCAAAAATGATGAAGAACGTGCAACAGATGAGAACAATGTTTCCGATAGGCTTGAGACTGAAATATACATTTATTTTTCTAAACTTGGTTCATAAGGTCAACCTTGATATCAGCGTCATGACCACCAACTTCACTCCGGGAGCCCTATTAATAACTCTCAATGGTCTCAATGCTCTGAGTAACCTTAATACTCTGATAACACCAAAAATCTTGGGAGAGTCTCCGGTAGCGAGAAGTTCAAAAGTGACGTTGATAAGAGAGATAACTACTAGAATTCCATCTAAAATATTCCAACCATCCTTGAAATATGCAGACTGTCCAATGAAACATCCATTCGCAATAACCTAGAATTAAAATATGAAGTCTCTAGCAAAAATCCCATAATTACCTTCATCATCATTTCCCCAGTGAAAATCACTGTGAAAATGTAACCCGACACTTGTAGGAATCGTCTTTCAAAGCTGTCAGGTGGGATTGACGGGCGTTCCATTGCAAGAGTGATACAATTGATACCGATGAAGAAAAGGATTGTGTAGTCAAACCATTTTTTCTGTGTTGTTTGCAGACATTTGATCCGGAGTGGATTCTTGGGACCCATCAAAAACAAGGAGAACTCTGTTCGGTTGTGTAGACAAGTTTTCTTCAAAAGTTTTCGTACAAAGGTGTTCTGTTTTGCCTCATTTCTTCTTTCTTCCTCAGCGAGTGCTTGTTTCAATTCTTGACTGGCTTCCAGAAACTTCTCTCTGGCATAGGTCTCGATAAGTGCTCGCCTTCCATGAACTGGACAGTTTGGATTGAAATGATGGCACAATCCACTCCAGCTGTGTACTCGTTGCCTTCGGTATGGTACTCCATTGGCTACTGGAAGCACCAGACTGGCATGCCTGTTCAATCTGGAATCATCAGCTCGTCCTTCAGATACTGGAGATCTATCGAATGGTGTGATAGTATTCCTCAGTACTAATCGCTTATCAATAATGGCATCCAAGTTGACAGAGTGTTTTCTTTCCGGTGATAAATGATAATTTGCAGAGAGAAGCATTGGTGAACCTTCTGGAGATGATGGTCTCTGACAAGTGCATTCTGCTGGTGGAACACCATTGTTGAATGCTGGTGATGTTGTTTTAGCAATCAAAAGTTCCAGTTCCCTTTTCCGTTCATCTTCTTCTTCGACAGCTTGCTTTCTGGCTTCCTCTTCCTAAAAAAGTTCATTTTGGAAAGTAGTGCTGAGATAGTAAAACTTCGGGGGATCGTAAAATGAAAAAGAGAAAAGAGAAGAAGTCTTCCAACTTACCAACTGACGTTTCTCCTCCTCTTTACTTTCTTGGAATCCTTCAACCAAGATAGCAACGAGTAGATTAAAGAGAACATAGTTTCCAAATGTCATGAGAGCAACGAAATAGAGTGCAGCCCATGGATTGGTTTGAGCCATTCCGTTGAATAAGACCATGTTCCAGTCTTCTTGAGTCAGAATCTGGAAAATATTTTTGAGAAGTGCACAACAAATAAGGCGACAACATAAAACAGTTGACAACAGATCACTTGATCACGTATACCTGGAACACTGTCACAGTTGCAAACAAAAAATTGTCGAAATTCATCCGATCACATTCACAAATTGCCGAATTGACTTGTGGTATAGTACATTGTAGTCCTGTGTCCGGATGGTTGCAGAATTTGCAACCAAACAGTACCATTCCGAGCGTGCTGAAATAGGAATACAACACGGGTACAAACAACATGAATGAAGTGAAAACCATGCAAAAAATATAACATGCAAAACGTTATTCTCCCATAATTCTTACCTGGAATACGGTGATCAGAGCCCAGAGTAAAGTGTCAAAATTCTTTCGCTCGCACTTTTTTGCGAGACCACCCAGAAATTTCTCTTCGACTTTGCAAAACTTGCACCCAAACAGGTTCATTCCGAGGATGCTGGAAAATGTTAAATGGGAAGTGTTGGGATTATTGAGAAGTGGAAAGAGAAAGTAGACACTATTTTAAATGGAAGGATAATTGAGCTTACCTGAAAATGAAGATGAAAAGCACCAGGAGTCCGAAGAAAACAGTAACATTGTCCATAGTTCGGAGCATCACAACCAGTTGATATCGGAGGGCAGGCATAAATCGGACCAGTTTCAGAATACGAAGGAGACGAAAAGTACGGAGTACTGATAGACCACCTTTTCCTTCTTGAAACAACTCCAGGACACTACAAAATCTTGACAATTCTGACCTGTTTTTCTCTTTCACTAAAATACCTGAGCGCTACTATCCCTCCATCAAAAAGGTTGAATCCGTCAGCGAGGTATCCAAAAAAACCGCTTGCAATAATCTTCAAGAGCATTTCCAGTGCAAATAAAGCCGTGAAAAACAGATTCGAGTATTCCAGAATGACAGTCAATATCTCGGGCTGTTGATGGTACTCGACACCCATACTCAACGTATTCACCAAAATTGCCACCAGAATGCCTCTTGTGAAATGATCGCAAACCACAAATTTTCGAACCTTGTCACGAAACCACCGTATTTTGGATGGTTTCCTCTTCTTTTCAGCTTTCTCTCCATCATAACTCTCGTCACAACTCTGGCTTTCATCAGAGTCATCCTCGTTATCCGAATGTTTATAGTGTGCACCATGGGAGTTGCCGTTACCAATTTTAACCCGCGGCTCTTCGTCAATTTTTACACGCTTTTTCCGGACTCCGTCACCATTAGATTCCGGTGGTTCTTCTTTGATTTCAGGAGGTGTCGCGATTTCGTCTTCTTCGTCTTCTGCCTTCTCTTCTATTCGGGATAATGTAGCCATATCGTCCAGTTTAGACTTCCTTCTTTGCATCCTTTCTGTACTTTTTCTCTCGGCTCGCTGTTCCATATAAGCATTGTACTTCTTCTTCACAGCTCGTTTAGTTCTACGAAAGGTGTGACCAATGAATCGAACTATGGCAGCATATACTGTATCACCACCTTCCTCCTTCGTTGATGCTCCTCCCATGTCAGATCCAGTACAAGCTGGAAAACAAATTAAATAGATAAAGTAGAACAATTTGAAGCTTACATATTGAGTCTCGATTCTGTAACCTCTTCCGTTCTTGTAGCATCCTTTCAGTTTCTCTTCGTTTCGTCTCCGCAAACTGTGTAGCAATAACGACCAGGCACAAGTTAATCATAAAAAATGCACCGATCACAATCAGCAGAACAAAATAGATCCAATTCCAAAACGAGTGAGCATCCTGTACATAATACATTATATCTGTCCATCCTTCAAGTGATATGACCTGAAAAAGTTTCATTAGAGACATGATTCAAAAGATGAGAGCTTACAAGAAAAATAGCGACCCATGCAAACCCAATGTTGTCAAAAGAAACCGAGCCTTGAAATGGATTTCGTTGCATCACCTGAGCAATAATCAGTATAGGAAATATATAAAGGGGGGGGGGGGGGAACTGACCTGACATTCGTTGTAGTAAACATTCCAGTTAATACACGAGTCGTTCGTTACTAGGTCGTAATCATCTATCGTCAGATTACACCTGGAAATAAAATTCCGGTAATTAACGACCCATCGATAATAAACGTCCTAATAAATGGATTATGATGCGTTTTTTGTTCTTCTTCACTGTATGAAAATAATTTATTCAATTTTTAAACGAAATTTAGTTTTAAAATTTTTATGTTATATAATTTTTGGCTGATTCTGTTTCAAACTCACTTTATGCCGTTTACAGTATAGGGTGGCAAATTTGAGCATGTATGTAACCCGTTTGCATCTGGTTGACTGCAAATGTATTCTAGCGACGTGTCCTCTGGGATGTAAAACCTCGTCAGTTTTACATTATTAAACAACGCGGACTGATTTTCAGATATTGACTTTGGCAGATTTATGACACATCGATTTCTGAAACAATATTACATTTTGTAAGCCTTTTCCTAATTTTTGCTCACCGTAAGAGACCCGCCCATAACTGAACACCAACAATTCCAAAGATGAAGAACACGAAAAAACATAATAATAGTACATTACCAAGCATGGGTAATGTGTCAAGTAACAAGTTTACTGAAAGTTTGAATATAATTTAGTTCAGGAGACTACCGTTTACCTAAAATTCTCATAGATGGTATCCGATTGACAGCTCGTAAGGGCCTGAGTACTCGGACAGTTCTGATGGCGGTGAGATTGATGTTACCGCCGAGATATTCATGTAGTACGAACTCGGCAATTCTGAAATTTTTTTTATTTTTAAATAATTTTTGATTCAATTTTTTTCAACATTTGGTGCGAATTTATTATGTGGGAAAGTCCTTCCGGTGTTCAATAACCATTGCCTCTCCCTCTTAAAAAAGGACAAGGGGTAGTTTAAGGAGAGAAAAAAGCACATTAGGTATTCCGCCTCGGCATTTCCTCGTTTTCTCCGCATCCCATCATTCTTCACTCATCATAACTCACCCGGCCATGACAATGAAAAAGTCTAAACGATTCCACGTATCCGACATGTACGCCGCAGGTCCGCAGAACCCAAGAGCCATTATCTTGATTACCTAAAACATGTGATCTTTGAGCATTAGAAAAGAAAAAAAACCTTCCTACCATTTCAATAGCAAAATAAACAAATATGCAATTGTCGATAATGTCGAGAATTTGACATCGATACGTATCACAGTCAGGTCCGTCTTCACACGGCCTATACATTCCAAGTGTTACACAATTGATTAATATCACTGCCATTGTTATTCTGTCAAACCAAGGACTCATTACCATCTGAAGTGCCCATTTCCTCGGGGGTCGTGCTTGATAAAAACATCGAAGTGCCGGTTCGGCAAACCTATAAATTGATAAAAAAACGTACAATTTTTGGGTTTGGAGTACATACCCCGGATACGGTAGATCACTATCCTCTTCTTCAATTTGTTCCTCATTTCCCCATTCGATCTGTCGACCTTCCCATCGCGAAGGCGAGGCCTCCGAGGAGGAGGCCAGCTGAAAAAAACACCGTTTTTTTGTAGTTCGGTTTTTTCTGTCGAGACTCCGAAATTTGCATCTTCCAAAAAAAAAAGCCAGAGAAGTTTTTCATTTCCAAAAAAGTCCCGCGATTTGAGAATAAAATGCAATTTCCGCATTTGGTGTACCGAAAACGTCAAAAACCAATAGAACTTTGAACGCACTTTTCAAACTATTTTGAGATTTTAATGTGGATGAAGCAAAAAGGATAAATACAGTATCAACGTATTACTACAGTATTACTAATCTACCGTCATCTCCCAAAATACTTTTTTTCATAAAATAAAAAAGTACTGAAGAAGAAAATGTGGAAAATAAAATTTCAGAACTATTTATTTTGAAAGTTTCTATAGTTGGCCATTTTAATTCTCTTCCAAGAATTGTGATACATGACTCAAAAATTTCAGTATGGGCAAGCCGAACTACAGCATAGAACTACAGTATCTGACAATAATTTTAATTACCACAACCTATCTAATTATGATAAATTTTGTTATACTGTGTTTTGAGCTAACTTTGGAAAACCAGAAAGCTAACACTTCAGAATCTCAAATGAGTGCCAAAACTATTTTTAAACTTCACATCAGTATGTTTTTTTTTCAGAAAATTCTAAAACTGATCCTAATTTTTTTTCTGAGATGTAACGGAATACCCTGATTGAGAGCAAAGTTCAGTTATTGCAAGAACCTGATCCCGTTGTGAAAAAAAAAATAGAACTCACTCGTCCGTGTTCCGACAGCTGCAGAGTTTCTTTCGAGCCTTCGATCGAGCCCAGCGCCTTAAAAATGGAATTTAGCATTATTTGACCCGTATATCAGTTTCTAAAAACACTTTTCAAAGATTGAGATTCAGCTCTTATCTATTCTATAAAACACTTCAAGAGAAAAAATACCTAGAGATAAAAAAAGAAAAAGAGAAAAATGGAACAAGTAACACTAGAGTTTTTACCAGGAGCGGCGACGAAAAATGATGTACTCGGTGTTAAGGGGAGAAAAAAGATGAAAAGAGAAAAAAGGTACATTCCTTCGACGAAAAACTCGGATGGCACTCAGACACTGCTTCTCTTCTCACACAGATTATGAGGATCCAGGCAGGATGTTCAATTTATGAGGGACCGCTTGGTAATTAATGACTGGTTCTCTAGAGCAGTTGACATTGTTCGTTGACATCAAAAAAAGCTTTCAAAAATGATTTTGAAATGTTTTTCAAGAGTATTTTCAGCCTTTTCAAAATCACTCATCTACAGGAAATTGGAAATTCGATAGAGAGAAATAAAAACATGGAATCTTCATTTCCTGTGGTACATTTTGAGAGTTTTGGATGTTTGAGAGCTGTGGAGGATGGATAAACTCGGTGAGATTGGTGGTTGACGACTTGAGTTAAATAAAATAGGCAGTTCCGAAATTGAGAACGTGGTAGTTAAGGAAGAAAAAGGAGTCAGAAGATGTTACATGTCAGGATTTATGGCCGATGTGTCCTTGGGTCCAGGCATCATTCTCATCGCTGGCTTTTGTTTCCACCTACTCGTCATATACTCCTTTTCCTTGGGTCCTATTCTTCAATTTCTGTTTCTATGCAAAACGAGGACGACAACCAAGGCAAAGGAGAAGCAGTAAAATGAGAGAAATAGAAAAATGGAGATGGCCTCCGGAAGGGGGACCTTGACTAAGTAAGTACCGCTCTCTTGTTAACAAAAAATGGAGGTCCGAAAGGATGCGGGGGGTAGGAAGAAGGAAGCGATGACTCAAAAACAGCAGGAGAAGAGGTAAAGGATTGAAATAGAATGCCTCGTTCCGCATGTGATTTCTACTAGAATCGTGTGCAAGTCCAATGTCGGCCAAGGTGCACTCTTCAACAAATTTGACGACGAGGCGGGTCCCATTGGGTTCCCATGATTTTTTTTCGCACTTTCAGCTCAAATTTCACAGAAATTTTCAAAGAAATTCTTTTCCACTGTTCTTATCTCTCGGTTCTTCCTTGACTTTGTTTCAATTTTGTGTTTTGTGACTTTATCAGATCGAGTTAACTTAAAAAGACGGAAATAGAAACATAAAAAAATTGACTAGAAAAATGATAGTGATAGTAGGAACAGTTATGTTTTTAAAGCTGATACTCGGAACTAAACATATTTTTCTCTGTGAAAACTCTCGTGGGACTTATTTCGACGATAAATATTATTTTATCGGTTTCTATGGAAAAGTGCTTACCTCCACGTCCTCATACCGTCGTGTAGATTGTGATTGCCGTCGGTTAACTGTGATTGCTGATGTTCTCCGACCGAGAACTGATCTGAAAAGAGAGAATTTCAAAAAAGTAACATTAAGGAATTGACAAAAAGTATTTTTTGAGATCAAGCAAACAAAAATAAAGTTACCGTAGTTTCAAATACTAAATCCTTTTAATGAACAATAAAGTAGGGTTTTTTGTTATTCCTATCCGAAAAATTCGCGAGACCAATTATGATCTACTAAAAAAATTTTTGTGCGGCAAGTCTGAAGCACAATTTGAGAAATTTGATTTTGTTAGTATTCAAGATGTGCTTTCTGATAATATTCACAAAGTAAGGCACAACTATTTGATGCGATAAATAGCTCAACTTCTTTTTCAAAATTTTTTAACATTCCGATGTTTTACCAAAATTTTACGTTTTCTATTTGTAAGCTCGGATGTTCATTCACTATAAAAAATTGTAGTCTAACATTTATACAACTACTGCAAACTACACTAAATGACCACCCAATATTTGCACTTTGAGCTCAATTATCTCGATTTCTATGAGTCATATTAAAAACGTGTCAACTGATAAATGTTGGTGGTATTATAACAAACATTTTATCAGTTGACAGATTTTTGTTATTTCCCATAGTAATTGAGATGACTGAGCTTAAAGTGCAAATCTAGGGTGGTCTTTTATCAGAGTGTGTTCAGTATTTGAGCTCTTTCTCTATTTAGACTCAGAATGTTTGTGCTTGTCCCAGGTTTTCGAAACTTTTTCCCTGACGTTTCCTCTATAACAATAGTTTCCTGAGTCAGACCCCTTTGCATTCCAAAACCTCCGTTCCCTATTTTCAACTTCTACACTTGTATTTCTTTATTTTTCTTCTCTACCCCCTAGCCCCAATTTTTTTTAAAAAACAAACCTTGGTCCGCCTGCATACTTAGAGAGGGACTGAAAACTGCGCAGTTCCGGAACTGGCTGACGTAGCATTTTCAGGTGACCGGGTCAAAGTGGTTTCTCATTCAGAGTAGCCAGAAATGTGCGAGGACAATGCGGCGACAAGGGTTCTGAAAATACGGAAATTTTGAGAAGTAATATAATAACCTTGATACTAAAACTTTGCTTTTTGAAAAAAAAACCAGTACAGTAAAGGAAATGAGTACAGCAACAAAATAAACACATAAATTACGAGTAGACGGGTTAGTGGGGGTGGAAGGAGAGGATAAACGATGAGAAAGGGTCTGGACTGAAATTTGAGAATTTTTCGAATCCCCCAGAATTTAGAAATCAACAAGATGTATCCTTCAGATAAGAACAAGACTCCGGGGGTTTTTTTTCGGGATGCGTAGAAGAGAACGAGAAGAAAAAATGGAGAAGACAAATCAAACAGAAAGAAAAAATAAAGAGGGAAGCGGAAAAGCAGCTGATTTTCAACCGGAAAACTGCAATAGCATTGAATGCATAATTGATGAGTTAGGAGGAGTGTAGAGTAAGGATCATGGTTTTTTCTCCATCTTCCCTGTCTTTTTTTAAAAATGGAGAAAAATGAGATAAAAAGGATAGAGAGGGATCCAAGATCAGTGATGAAATTCAGAATAATTGTAGTATGACCAAAAAATGGATAGAAAAAAAGCGATAGAAGAAACAATTGAGTTGTATGTGTGTTTGGTTTTCTCTGTGTGTGTGTGTGTAGAAAAATAGATGATGGAGACCAGAGCGGAAGAAATTAGACGATTTCGGTTGGTTGGTTGAATATGCGGAGCTCTCCGCAAGCATGAATCTGCGCTGGAGCAATATATGAATTGTCTGATGATATTGTTTCTGTGTTTTTTTTTCCAGGGGAAAAAGGGGTTATTATAGATTCAAATATGGAACGTGTGAAGGATCAACAATTTAGAAATCGTATTGTATAGAATCATATTTATAAATGAAAGAAGGAAATAATGATCTTACAGAAATAAGAATAATCGAAAATAATATTTCAGAATTCAAATTTTCTTTCATTTCCCCACACTATGGAATCCCTGATGAGATAGGAAAAATAGCGTGATTATTCGAATCACCTAATCTAATTACAGAAAGTGCGCATTCGCTACAAAGCTTCTCTCTTCCCTGAACTTTCGGAATAAAAAACTTCGATTCGTTTCAAATTCACAGAATAGAAATGACATGGCAAAAAAAAACGAAAAGGTCAGCAGAAGATGGTGGTCGTGTATTCGAAATATCTGTGGGAAAATTAAAAGAGGCTACGAAAAAAAGTATCAATGACAGGTGAGTGCATTTCTTTGGCAAGGATGACGGAACCAAAAAATCATGAGGAAAGAGGAAAGAGGACAGAATAAATAGTTGAAATTCGAAATTCTGAATTTCGAACAATTGTTTGGTACTAAATTCTTCTTTCTTTTCAGGTATTTTTGAGGGACATCTGACCCTGGTTCCAAAACTCAACGACTACGGAAAAGAAGCCCTCCGTTCATGAATCAAAGTTTAGTCTTCTTTAATTCAAAATATCAGATTACGTCTATTATCTTCGGGGAGTGGGAACAAGATTTGGTCAATCATCGGACGTCATTATTTAAAAAAAAAACTTTAATTTCAAAAAAAAGGGTTTTCTATGTCCCACTAACTGATCTGCATAGAAAGACACAGAAGAAGATTTTTGCTGCCTTCATCATGACTTCATAGAAGGAGAAGTGAAAAATTCCTGGCGACATGACACGCTATTCATGTTTGATGCGCCGTGCTACATATGCAAAACTTAAAGATGAAGAGATGAAATGAGCATGTCGAAAAAATGTCTCATCACAATTATTTTCCTCTCAGACCTGGTAACCATATCAGAAAAATGGTGTCCATGGAACTTTGGCACAAAAAAGGCACAAGGCGGGGACCCAAATTTTTCGATAGAAGTGGAGAGGACAATTTTCAGTATGTCGCATAAAAAAATGGACGAAGGGAGTGGAATAGGGATAGGATGGATAGGGGCATAAAAAATAATACGTGCTACTACTTTTCTACCCTTCTCTCGAATGCCCGGATAGAGTTGTCCTACTCCCAGAAATAGAAGGAAGGAGCCGATCTATCGGTCGGTCTGTAGACGTGGAAAGAAAAAAAACATCATGGACATGAAGAAAAAGAGTGGGAAATAGTAAAAGAAAAAGCAAAAAAGAATTGGAAGAAACAGAATAGATGAGATGACTGGGAGAAGAATGAGAAGCATCAAGTCCACGAATGTTGCCAGTACATCCGGCAAAAGGTCATGTCAATTTGAATGGGCACAGAAAAGATGTTTTCGTATTAAGCCATACAACTTTTTTCCGGAAGCTTCAAGTTGAAAAGATTGTTAAACTTTTACGGTACTTCGAAAACCACACAATGAAATAAAAATGGAATTGAAAGAAAACCTTTCCGAGCCATTGAAATTTCGCGTTCCGAGTCATACTTGTTTGCTTCACACATAGAGATTATACTAAAATTGATATATGCAAAAGGATAGCATGAGAAATTGGAGATAACAAGAAATAGAATCATGACCAGCCGCCAGCAAACCCGGATTTAGGGATTTGACTTTCTCTCGTTTTTCATCATTCGCTATTCTGATCTCACTCGAGAAAAAAAAACATCATCACTGCCGGAAAAGTCAATTTGTTCGTTTTTGCTCGTGATGATGGGTTCGTGATTTTTAGAATTGGAATTTTGGATTTTTTCCGAAAATATTTTTTGGCGTCCAACTTTTTTCCGCTTTTTTTGTGGAAGAAACTGCAAAAAACTACACTTTTTTTAGAATACCTTGAAGACAGGATTCTTAAAAAAATCAATTTGAAAATAAAACTAAAATGTTAGTTTTCGATTTTTTGTACATCTTCTATAATATTTTCTCATTTTTGCAATAAAATATATTACATTTTCTTTCAAAGTTGAATTGTTTTGTAGAACTATTATGGTTCCTGGCCGGGCTGGACGAAGATCTGAATTTTTCATGGTTTTTTTTTCTTATGTTGAACGAAAATGAGCAAATATAAAAAATAAATGAAACAATTTTAGAAATTTCTGAAACTTTTGAAATAAAAAAAACTATGGCTAAGATTATTCATTTAGGGTATAACCAAGATTTTCAAACGTACGTTCTTACCATTTTGAAAAATATTTCAAATAGTGGAAATTACGCTTCTTCAGGTTAGAAACACTGTCAAAATTATTTTTCGCAAAATTTTAGGCACATTTCTTATGATGACTGTCAAAATAATTTTTTTTGGTAGCTTTCCTGCTTTATTTCGATACCAGTAAAAATTTGAAGGTTTTTAAATCTCTTTTCACCCACAATTTTTGTCGGGACCATAGAATTTTTAGACCCAAAGGTCAAACTCACTACAGCATGGGAATACGAAAATTGTTGCAACTTTTTGAATGAACGAACATGTGAAACGGGTCACAATAGAATAAAAACTTGAGAAAAACGGGAAGGAAAAGTGAAGAAAAAAAACGAGCGAGGAAGAAAAAGGAAAATTTTCGGATTTCCGGTGCAAACTTCTTGGGAACGAAGAAACCGAGGCGAGGGATGAAAGAAATAAATGGAGGAAAAGTCAGAGAAAAAGGGCATTGGTCCTATAGAATTTAGTGAAACTTTATACCGGAAGACGAGAAGGATTAGAGTTTCTTCTGGTAGAAGCCCTCATTTTCTTAAGCATTTCTATGAGTTTTCTAAATAGAGAAGCTTCAAAGTTCAGTATTAATTAGATTCCTCGAAGGTTAATTGATAACCTGATTGAGTTCTTGCGCTTTCTCTTTGTGCTTTCTCTGTGGGTAAGATTGAGAGCCAATCACATCCCAACCAATCGACATGTTGTAGACACGATGGAACAGTTGTCGTTCGGGATGACCAGCGTCTATCATTCTGGACCCCATTCAAACAGACGTTTTTCATCACTCACGGCACTCTGACAACGGGAAAAATACGAAAAACACTTGTTTGTTGATAATGTACTCATTCAATCGGTGAGTGACATAATTCCTCGGATTTTTTGACAGCTGGAAGGAGGAAACCTCAGTTTTCGTATTCAGTATTTTAGGAGGTAGACTAAAGAAGAAAAAATAATAGTACGTTGACCTCTGTACCATTGTTACACATTTTCTCGCAAAGTGTGAAGGTTTTATAATAGGGCGACAGCAGAAAAAGCTGTTGAAAAAAACGCGTTAGGTGAGCCATCTCTCGGATTTTTTATGATAGAAACTTGCAGAAAATAAAAGCAGGAAGTTTTTTATTCGGTAATTATTTGAAGTGAGTAGTGAGCATTCAAAAATACGCGAAGCACTATATGTTTTGCAAGAAAAAAGTTATAATATTCATAAGATATCCGGGAGTGGAATATAAAACTTGATAAGAACTCTCTTTCTCTCTCATAGATCAATCAAACAGTTTTTGCATTAATATTAAAGCACCCCATATATCAAGCGAGGAGTCTAGAATTTTCTGACTGACTAGTAACAAACTTGCCACTTCTGTCTGAAACCGACATAAAAGTGCAGTCCAGTTCCGTTGGGTTCAGAAAACAGATGATTTGGATGTCATCTTTTACAGAAAACTTGGCTGTCGTCACGTCACTCAAATTTTTTTTCTCTAAAATATTTTTTGGTTAAAAAGTTGAATGTTTAAATATGCTAACATAGCACCTACAGAAATGGAAAAAAGAACAAGAAGCTGAAACGACAGAGGAGGTGGCCCCATGGGAGGAAGTGATAAGTGTTCCTGTGAAAAGCGTCTCAAAACTTTTTAGAAGAGAAGGTACAAAAAATTATTCAGACATGCTTGGAGATGATGTAGGGTTTAAGCTTTTCTAAAAACTTTTCCAGAGATACAATTTTAACAAAAATTCAAATGAAATCATTCGAAAACTATATACCGTAAATAACTTTGAGCTGAAGTTTTTCAAAATCTGTAGATAAATCAAAAACTAACAAACTAGAGAAATGTTAACGATATTAAGACAAGTATTTTATTAGTTTACAGGTTTTTAATTTTTATCAAAAAAAAATTGAAAATTGCTGGTTTTGAAACAGGGATCTACTTTAATATTGAGTATGAATGATGGACTGTAAAAAATGAAAGGTCGACGATATAATTTAGTCAGACAATATTCAGTAAGACATATTCGTAACCCCAAGAGTAACCCCAAGAGTTCCAAAACAAAAAAAAATCATATAAAACTTCTCATCAATTTTAGAACCTCTAACAAAAAGACTAAAAACGTTTTTCGTCACTTTGTATTAGTCCCTTATTCCTGCTTTCAATTTTCTGACTATATCAATTGATACAATTTGTGTTCCTTGATCCATGTCTCTTGGTGTAAATAAAAATTCTGGAATAAAAACAAAAACTCTTCCCGAAAAGAGAATTGTGCGTGTGTTTTTTCCTGTCTCTGATCAACCCTACCAAATTGGCCTGAAATTAGTAGATAATTACAATTTTTTGGAAGAAGAAGACACACGCATGTTTTTAATTTTTATTCTCATGCTCCAATCCCCATCCTCAGTTTTAGTAGTTCCCATGTTCTCTAATTGTATCATAGCATGAATGTCAAAAAAGGAAAATTTTTGAAAAATCAAAAAAAATTGTAAATTAGGCGCATAAAAGAAAAAGTAAAAAAGAGACACGCAGAATGGAGAGAGAGAGGAGAAGAAAATGAAATGAATTTGAAAATGTAATGTGATGCTGAAAAGCTGGATGAGAACAAAGTGGAGTGCTGGGAAGAAGGCAGTAGAAGGCACACTGATTTTTGTCAAAAATATATTGCCTTCTGGATATGTATATTTGAATGCAATGGATGGTTTGACAAGTGGATACTGGCTGACGAGATTTTTTTCTTTCAAATTAAAAACTAAACAAATATCAACGAATGTCATTTTCAGACCATTTTTATAAAATATGTCTCTGTTTCTGAACGAATCTTTTTGCAAACGTTAGTAATCTTCATTCTGCTCATTTATTGGATCAGATCTGACGCTGTCAGGAAGTTCATATGATCAGAATTTGTTTCAAATAACTTCTAACCTCAGATAAATTTATCAAGATTCCTTTTCTTGCCTCAACTTTTTGAGTGTGGTTCTTGTGATGAACAAGCGATTTTTTTTCGGTTTGTTGTTTTTCTCATGTCTTTTACTTTTTTCCTCTTTTTTCACTTCTCCCTCCATCATGATGACTTTGTTCTTCTGTTTCTGTCATTTTCTCATTGAGATTCATGTTGATTTGCAAGTGAGAACGGGGAAAAGCCGTCACCGCCGTCACCGGCCACACATATGGAAGATGGAGATGTCGAATGAGAAGAGAAGGCAAAAAATAGCTCTCGGGTTAGTTCTTCGTCATTTTCTTCCCCGTTGGTGATGGCGTAGGGGTGGGTCCCAGAGGTGAAATAAGAAGGAAAGGAAGCAAAGGAAAAAAACGTAGAGGAGAATGGGAGCAGGAGGAAAGAGGGCAATAAAAAAATAACAACTAGGCATAAACGTGAGATGGAGCGAGGAGAGACCTTTTCGTTGTCGGGAGTCCCTCAGATCAATTGGTGGTTGTGGCATTCTGGTTAGAAATGAAGAAACTGAAGATAGAAAAATGAGAAGAAGAAGGTACTAAAAGAAAAACAGAGTCATGAGTTCATGAGTAGGTACGATGTGCTTGGTGCAAGAACAAAAAACGACATCACGAAGAGGACGCTCAATGGTTTTCGGATATCTAGGCAACCACGAATGGAGCCATCAAAAATAGGAATGGGACGGAAGAGGTGATGTATAATTGCAGGTTTCACGAATGGGTTTGAGTTGGTTTTTTTTTTTGAGTAATACGGTAGATAGAGAGAGTGGGATAAAGCGAATAAAAATCTTGAATAATTTTTAAAAGAAATCTTTTGAATTCTAAATAAATTGAAAGCATCTGAAAAACATTTTAATTTTCAGATTATTCAGAAATTGTTGAACACCGTGAATAAATACTGTAAATGAGGAAAAGTAAATGAGAACTGAATACAGTAAGCAAACACCTATATGTGCGCAATTTTCTCGGTTTCTACGCAAGATTCCAAAATAAGGTCAAATAACGAAATATTGGTGATTATATGATAAGCACTCTATCAGTTGAGAAAACTTGATATCTAGCATAGGAACCGAGATATTTTAGCTAAAATAGAACGCGATGGGCTTCTATTAAAGCATTTACAAAATTTTAGAAGGAACACG